TTAATAATCCCCAATCATTTTAAATGATTCCAGCAGAGAGCTAAGGAAATAGATGGGGCTAACAGCTCTGGGAAAAAATGCAAGTGACAAATATAAATGTTCGACCTTAGTAGTCACCCCAGAAATAGGAATTGAAAACAATACTATTCCGTAGGAGGGCTTCAGACAAGTGGGGAATGTGGTCCCGACTCTTTCTAAATAAGGAGAACTTTAAGCTTCTGACTCCCTGCGCCTGCCTGAAAATGTAAATGATCGGACTTCAGTTTTTATGGTACGGATAGTTATGATAGTACTATACTGAGAAAACCTTGAGGCATTTGGGGATTTAATGAAAGCATGGTGTCCAGGATTTATTGAAATCATAACTCAGGGCAGTCTTGTGAGATGACAGTCTGTTCTCTTTGCCATTGGTCATTTGGAGATTTCCGCAAGAGTTAGCTCTGAGCCGACAGCCACCGTCAGGTTTTGCAAGAGGAAGTTATCCAGGTTCCATATTGCTCAGACCCTTCTCTTCCTTTCTCCTTTGCATTCTCCCCCGCTTCCCTTCTCCGACCCAGCCCTGCCCGTCAGCATGTCCATCAGAGTGTGGGCAGCAGAAGCCATAAGCTGTTGAAACCCAGGAGACCTTCTTGTTAACACCTCTTCCTCACTCCTAGTGCAGAGGAAATTGGGATTTGTTGGCACAGTTATGAGTGCTTGGGTGATGCAAATGGTTAATGCACTCAGTTGCTAACCGAAACAAAAGGTTGGAGGTTGGAGTCCACACAGAGGCACCTCAGAAGAAAGGCCTGGTGATCTGCTCCCAAAAATCAGCCGCTAAAAACCCTTTGGAGCACAGTTCTGCTCTGATACACGAGGTCGCCATGAGTCGGTGTCGACTTCCTCACAACGGGCTAACTGCTTGCTGTTGATAGTTGCCATAGAGTCGATTCTGACTCATGGCGACCCCAGGTGTGCAGAGTACCAGCTAAGAAGGGAAGACGAAGGCTGCTGGCATTGCACAGACGCCACAAGGCATTTCTCCTGTGCTTTGGTCTGTCCACATCCCACCTCCAGAAGTGACAGCTCTACAACATGTCAGGGATGCAGGACGCGTGAGGGCTGTCTTTCTGCAAGGAATCCGTCCGGTCCCTCGGGAAGCTCTGCAGCAGCTCTGAAGAGACAAAGGGGGAAGCTCTTGCATTGTGATGGCTCGGGACTCGCCACCGTTTCGGGCGTGGACTTCGTGCAGGGAGGTCTGTAGGATTTCCCCGGCCGCTGGCACTGCCCCCACCAGGGAAGTTCACCAAAGACGTCTCAATCCAACAGCAGCAACGGTGCGAAACCTCCCGTCTTGGATGTCCTTTATAAACTGGTCTAACTTGTTGTAAAGAGTCCCATGGTTAAGTGTTCAGCTACTAACTAAAAGGTTGGAGGTTTGAATCCACCCGGAGGTGCCTCGGAAGAAAGGCCTGGTGATCTACTTCTGAAATATCAGCCATTGAAACCCCTACGGAGCATAGTTCTACTCTGACACACATGGGGTCACCATGAGTCAGGGTTGACTCCACGGTAACAGATACTGGTAACTCTCTGAAATGGTACATTTTGCTTCAAGCGTTTGAAACTAACGAGCAACATCTATGGCTGGCTGGGAGAAAGGACCACCAGTACCGGCCTTGGCCTTCAATTCCCATTTGCATCTGACCAGAAGCTGTTTGGCACCGCATGGGGCCGGCTTGGCCCCAGGGTGGCAGGCCCGTTCCCGTCTCGGCAGATTATGATGTCTGTGTGGCTGCCTTTCATTCACAGCTTCCCGCGCTTTGCCAACAGGACCTCCTTGGGGAGTGTCTGCGGCAGTCACGCTGAAGGGGGGCCAGGCCCAGGATGCCCTGGCACTAGCGCTCCTGGCTGCAGGCTCACTACCACAGCTGTCAGCAGCCTTGGAGGGGCCGGGCACCGCCAGCTCTGGCAGAAATGTGTGGGACGCCCTGGAGATCCCCCGGCATCAGACCTGGCAGGCAGCCAAGGCAAGGGTCCCGCACCATCATGCAGCCCAGAGGTGTTGACCTGATACCAGGGGCAGCGTTAACCCCCAGAGAGGCCACCTTCTGGACTCTGGCTTTCCACTAGCATGTCCTAGGGGTCGGGCTTTGTGAACGAATTGTGTCCCCCCAAAACACATGCTGAATTACTGGCCCTTGTACCTGTGGGTGTGATCCTGCTGGGAAATACGGGGGTTCTTTTGTTATGTGAATAAGGTCATACCGGAGCAGACTGGGTCCTAAACCTAATCCCTTCTGAGTTATGAGAAGAGCAGAAAAGACACGGAGACACACATGGTGTCAGACAGGAGCCACGTGAGGACTGTCTACAAGCCCAGGGACACGGGAACCCAGGATCTCCTACAAGGAAGGACATGGCCCAGACCCCAAGCCCAGGGACACAGGAACCCAGGATCTCCTACAAGAACACGGCCCAGACCCCAAGCCCAGGGACATGGGAATCCAGGATCTCCTACAAGGACACGGCCCAGACCCCGAACCTAGGGACACGGGAATCCAGGATCTCCTTCAAGGACATGGCCCAGACCCCGAGCCCAGGGACACGGGAATCCAGGATCTCCTACAAGGACACGGCCCAGACCCCAAGCCCAGGGACACGGGAATCCAGGATCT